CGCAGCTCGTGTACCCTCCTCTGGTAACTCGGCCTCTCTTGATAATTCTGCTTTTGCTGTTGGTTCAGTATGTCCTCGTTTCCAGCGCACTGCTACAAGTGAGGTTATTTGCTATTATTGTAAAGAACCTGGACATGTACAGCTTCACTGCCCAAAGCGGAATGCTTGCAACTACTGTAAGGCATCTGGTCACAAGATTAATGCTTGTCTTATTCTGGCTAAACGTGGACGTAACCGCCCGACTCATGGATCCACTTCGAGGGGTTCCTTGGCTGCCCCCTGCCTATGCGGCTTCTCTGGTTTCGTCTTCTGGATTTTCTCTCACCCAGGATACTATCCGTCAAATGCTCCAGGAGGCTGTTCGGGATGTGCTTCCTTCCGCATTAGGCTCGGTTTTTACTGCTGGTATGCCTTCTTCTTCTTCTCCCACTTGGCATCTTGACTCTGCAGCATTTAATCATATGACCAGTTCTCGATCTTGCTTTAGTCAACTTCGGCCTTCTAGTTCTATTCAGTTACAGGTTGCTGATGGCAGTCGGTTACCGGCTCAGGGTATTGGAGTAGCTTGTGGTCCTGGTTTATCTCTCCCGGACACACTCTATGTGCCTCGATTAGTACCTAATCTTGTATCAGTTGGTCAGTTGGCAGAAAATGGGTGTCGTATCATCTTTGATACTACTGGTTGCATTGTTCAGGACCGGAAAAAGGGGAGGGAGATCGGCCTTGGGACTAGACGGGGTCGGATTTACACTCTTGAAAACTATGTTGGGCTCGAGGGAGGAGCAGCAGGGTCCGCAGGGAAGGGGGAAGTTGCCAGGAGTGTGCCTATGGAGGCCATGAAGGAGTCTGATGTCCCGGCTTCTGTTTTGTCTCATGAGCCTTTTGTTGGTTATTCTGTTAAGTTGTCCAATTGGGATTTGTGGCATCGTCGGTTGGGTCATCCCCATTCTGCCAGACTGTTAGAGATGTTTAAGAATAAGTTGTTATCTGGTAAATTTGTTTCTGATTCAGATACTACTTGCACGCACTGTTTGGAAGCTAAGTTATCTCAGCAGTATTTTGGTTCCAGTACTACAATTTACTCATATCCCTTTGATTTAGTTCACACTGATTTGTGGAGTCCTTCCCCAGTTACATCTCGCATGGGTTACCGATATTTTGCTTTATTCATCGATCATGCGACTCGCTTTGCATGGATATATTTTCTTCGGCAGAAGTCAGATTTATTGACTGTTGCTAAGGAGTTTATTCAGATGATTCAAACTCAATTTGGAAAGATTATCAAAGTCATTCGCTCTGATCCCGGCGGGGAGTTTTCTTCTGGACCACTACAGGCAGTCTTTAAAGACCATGGTATACTTCCGCAACAATCTTGTCCTGGTGTCTCACAGCAAAATGGTCTAGTGGAGCGCAAACATCGGCATGTTTTGGAGTTGACTAGAGCCATTCTTTTTCAGTCTAGTATCCCTTCTGGGTTTTGGGCTGAGGCGGTTCATACGATTGTGTACTTGATAAATCGCCAACCCACTTCGGTTCTCTCTCATCGCAGTCCGTATGAGCTATTATACTCTCGCATTCTAGATTATGCTTCACTCCGGGTCTTTGGCTGCGTTTGCTATGTCCTTCTTCCCCGACGGGAGGGACATAAGCTAGCACCCAAAGCAGTTCGCTGTGTCTTTGTGGGTTATAGTGATAAACACAAAGGTTATATCTGTTATGATGTGGTCAATCGGCGGATCCGCATATCATGTCATGTGGCCTTCTTAGAGCATCTGTCATATTATCCAGTTCAGGCTTCTTCTGACCGTACAGACTTGGATTTTCTTCGGCCTCAACTGACATTCTTCGCTCCGCCGTCTTCCCCTTCTAATGAGGAACTGTCACCCTTTGGTCAAGGATCAATGTCAATGGATCTTAGTATGTCTTCATCTTCGTCTAGTTCATCCTCATCTTCCTCCATATCACCTCAGCAGTCATCTTCCTCCTCGGCCTCATCGAGCAGCTCCGATGCCGGAGATTGTTCCTCCTCATTCGATGCTGGTCCACCTCCACCTCGTCGCTCCTTGCGTGCCAACAAGGGTCACCCCCTTGTTCGGATGTCGGATTTTGTGGCTTTCTCCACTGCCCCTATTCCGGTCCCTGCCACATATAAACAAGCTCATGGACATCCACAGTGGGATGCGGCCATGGCAACCGAGACACAGGCGTTAGAAGCTAATCATACCTGCGATGTTGTGCCTCGGCCGAAGGATCATCCGGTTATTGGTTCAAAGTGGGTATACGCACTCAAAATGCAACCCGATGGTTCAATTGAACGCTTTAAGGCTCGTGTTGTCGCACATGGATTCCGTCAAGAGTTTGGGATTGACTATGGCGAGACATTTGCACCAGTCGCCAAGATGCAGACAGTCCGAACATTACTTGCTGTGGCTGCAATGAAGGGTTGGGCATTGAAACAACTGGATGTCAAAAATGCCTTCTTACATGGTGATTTAAAAGAGACTATTTATATGGAGTGTCCTAGTGGCTACAACAACGGTGATAAGTCCAAACTTTGTCTTCTGCGTCGTTCTCTCTATGGGTTGAAGCAGGCTCCGCGTGCATGGTTTGAGAAATTCCACAGCGCTATCTTACATGCTGGTTTGATACAAAGCGACAGTGATCCATCCTTGTTTCTTCGACGGTCAGCTCGTGGTTTGACAATTCCGTTAATATATGTTGACGACATGGTGATTAGTGGGGATGATACTCTCGGCATTCAGTCTCTTATACAGGTTCTTCGTGTTGCGTTCAATCTCAAGGAACTGGGTGACCTATCCTATTTCTTGGGACTCGAGGTTCACCGCTCGTCGGCAGGATTGTTCATTTTTCAACAGAAGTATATTGTGGACTTCTTGGAAACTGCGCAGATGGATACCTGTCAGCCGTGTGCTACACCTATGGAACAAAATCTGAAGATCTGCAGTGATGATGGTGATCTCTTGGATGATGGCTCTTTGTATCGCAGTACGACAGTATTTCGAGATTGACTGCAAATGGGCAAAGGCGATGATTTGTGCAAAAAACTATAGACGAAAACCTAGTAAACAATAACTAAACACAAAGGTTGTAGAATAGAGAGTGAGGTAAAAGAAGGATTTGGAACTTCCCCACTTACACTTGGAGCAGTGTGAGAGCCACTAATAAATAGTAACTTCAACTTAGCTTTAATATATTAATTAATAATAATAATAATATATTAATATATCCTGAGGAATCTATCCTTGTTGTAATGTCTTTTAGAAATTTTCTTCCTCTTCAGCTCTTAGGCCATCAGACTACAAACCCAGTAGTCTTGGAGTACTTATTCATTATTGGCATGATGATACTTAGATCGATTTCTCAATACAAGAGTTTAATAATTTTGTAGGTCGTAGATAAATAACTAAAGCACAAGAGTCAGTGTATTGACATTGAAGCTAGGTGAATTGAAGTTCAACAAGAAGATGAGCAAGTTTCAAGAATATGCAAACAGAAACGCTAGCTACTAATGATACTTGACCAACTTTCCATAATTTATGAACTCTTTTATATGAATAGAATTTTGTTAGATCACCATACTCTTGAGTCTTGACGGTAGCTGTATATTAGTATTTATTGCGACATATTTGTATACCAATATTTATGATCAAGATATTGAACATTTTGTGTTGTCTTTAATATTTGCGGCGATCGTATCATTAGATCTGTTATAATAGAATTAGCATGTCAAATTACGACAAAATGGTCACATAAAAAATATACTAGCTATTCGTAAATATTAGTATGACAATAACTGTCTGTTATGACAAATTTATTTTCAAAGAAAAACAATTTCTACAGAAGAACCCCATATTAGATATCATGACAAACAATTATAACAAAATTATTTGTCACAATTGTAAAATTTGTCACAACAACATATCGAAATTCACAACCACCTAGACAAAATTTGACCATACTATGACAAAATATCTCTTTATTTTGACAACACATTTGCAAAAATAGAGGTCCTATAATGACAAAAGTTGATTGTCGTGCCACTGAAACATATTGTGACAAGGCATTTAAAATTTGTAATAAAAAAGTTGTTTCGACGAGGTAGTTTTGACGAACGTTATGACAATATTTTTTGTTATAATAAAGTTATTATGATAACATTTGATCCTGTCATAACTGGGTAGCCCATTAGTACGATATTGTCCGCTTTGGGCCAAACCCGCACGATTTTACTTTTGGGTGTCCTCCCCAAATGTCCTCGTACTAATTGAGCTAGGTGGACAATTATATACAAGGGTTCCTTCCATTGTATTTCCGATGTGGTACTTGGATTGTCCCATAACAATCCTCCCCTCAATCCAAGGACCACTGTGATACCTCGACTTCGATTTAGGTTCAACATCAAGAACTGAATCAGTTGGATCAAATAAATTGAGCCGAAATTTTGCCCCATCGCACCTTGGGCCCAAGTTGGAAATTTTTGAAAAGGGCAATGAGTCACTCAAACCTATTCGATACTACCGAGCTAGAAGAGAATACCTGTTATGGTGAAGACTACATATAAGAACTATAGTAAGCTATTCAAGACAAGGTAAGGGCAAACCATTGAAGTTCATATAGCAAGAGTGAAATCTTGAGCCAAAGAAGCACGAGAATGAGGAGTATTGAAGGATGAGCCCGGTCAAATTTCGGGGACGAAATTTTTATAAGGGTGAAGGAAATGTTACACCCCACCCTTTACAAAAGTTAAAATGACTATTATGCCCTCAAGGTAATATGTCAAATTACACCGTAATATTGATGAGGAATAAAAATATGGACTCTCGATACAAACGGTGTTGAGTTTCGACATACAATGAGGAAGTTATGGACGTTAACTAGGTTTCGAATTAAACTCACCCATAATTATGAAATTCCCAAACTAACCCCGCTCAATTAAACCCTAATAGCATTTCGGCAGCCGTTCCCCCAAACCAGAAGAAATGGCAGCCGCCGCTCGTCCCCTTGTCTCCGTCCAAATCCTTCCCACCATGAACGACATGGCCACCGATTCCCCGGCCACTGTTCCCCTGCCCGACGTTATGAGGGCCTCTATCAGACCCGACGTCGTTAACTTTGTTCACTCCGGCATGTCGAAGAACAGCCGCCAACCCTACGCCGTGTCCAAGAAGGTCGGCCACCAGACCTCCGCCGAGGGTGTCGAGAAGACATCCACCGCTATCAAGCTGCTCAAGGAGATCAGAGCTTATGTTGAATGAGGAAATGTTACACCCCGCTCTTTACAAAAGTTAAAATGACTATTATGCCCTCAAGGTAATATGTCAAATTACACCGTAATATCGATGAGGACTAAAAATATGGACTCTCGATACAAACAGTGTTGAGTTTCGACATAAAATGAGGAAGTTATGGACGTTAACTGGGTTTCGGATTAAACTCACCCATAATTATGAAATTCCCAAACTAACCTCGCTCAATTAAACCCTAATAGCATTTCGGCAGCCGTTCCCCCAAACCACAAGAAATGGCAGCCGCCACTCGTCCCCTTGTCTCCGTCCAAACCCTTCCCACCATGAACGACATGGACACCGATTCCCCGACCACTGTTCCCCTGCCCGACGTTATGAGGGCCTCTATTAGACCCGACGTCGTCAACTTTGTTCACTCCGGCATGTCGAAGAACAGCCTCCAACCCTATGCCGTGTCCAAGAAGGCCGGCCACCAGACCTCCACCGAGGGTGTCGAGAAGACATCCACCGCTATCAAGCTACTCAAGGAGATTGAAGCTTATGCTGATGCGGAGAAGGCCAAGGATAGCGTTGGGATTCGTCCCGAGAAAGGGAAGACGAGGAATAGGAGGTATATTTCTAGCAAGGGACCTTTGGTTGTGCACGGAACTGAAGGCGCTAAGCTGGTGAAGACATTCCGCAACATCCCTAGGGTGGAGGGGGCCAATGTCGACCGTTTGAATCTTCTTAAGCTAGACCTTGGTGGCCACTTAGGTCGATTTGTGATCTGGACCAGGTCTGCTTTTGAGAAGCTTAACTCCATCTACGGCTCCTTTGACAAGGCTGCTGAGAAGAAGAACGGGTATGTGCTCCCTAGAGCTAAGATGGCGAATGCTGATTTGGCTAGGATTATCAACTCTGACGAGGTTCAGTCTGTGGTGAAGACCATCAAGAAGGAAGTGAAGCGAGCTCCATTGAAGAAGAATCCTCCGAAGAACTTGAAAGCGATGGCGATGCAATCAATTGGAAGGTAAAGTGTTCGACCAAAGGGAAAGGAGAAGAAGAACAAGGAGACCACGGGGATTGGTTTATCTCAAAGCACATCAAATTTGTGGCTTATTCGAGTAAGACGATTATGCTAAGGTGAGTGTAAAGGGGGTAAATTCTACGCCTTACGGTATTTAAGTTTTTTGAGATTTGGCTGCTATGTGCCGTACTTGTCTTTGTATGCTTATGATGTCATATGATTTGTGAGTTATGCTTTCAGTTTTATGTTGTTTGTGTGCTTTACTTACAAGTAAGTTTAAGTTAAAGAAACAAGTTTTTTCTTAAGAAGTACTTCACCTTCTAAGAAGGTGAAGGAGTTTAATTGTTTTTAGTCACTAGCGCCAATCCGTTGCCATTTGAGATTTTAAGATGAGCAGCAGTTATGCTCTTGAGAATTGTGGTGAAGATCCACCACGATAAGTTTAAGATGTTAGGGGGATGAATCGTTACGACTTCCCTAACTAAGTTTAAGTTTAAGGAAAGCCTGGATGGCTTCTCATACGTATGAGTTGGCAACCAGACTAGCTAGTGAGGGATCCCCGTGTCAGTCAAGTATTTAAGTCAAGCTTTGAGATTTAAGAACGGAGTAACAGTAACTCCCATACAGTTTTAAGAGTTAAGATTTTTAATAGTGGAAGTACAAAACAACTTCCACACAGTTAAGTAAAGTGCTCAAGTATTAATAAGATGCTAAACGTAAGGGCGTAGACTGACCCCAACTCACTCACCTGGCCTTAGTAAGGGAATGAGCGAGAACCAGGTCGGTAGCAGCTAGCTAGAGGAGCAGTTAGAGAGCATCGAGTTCGAGAGGAAAATTGCGAGAGCAACCAGCTAGAGGAGGGCAGTGCAAGCGTCACGGAGAATGCCTAGTTAAGATTTTCAGTAGCAGCAACGACAGAGACTACCTAGTTATTTACATTTTATGATTATGAGTATAGACTGGAGATCAGATTGAGATTTAAAGTACGAGTTTAATTTGCCCACGTGTTAGGGCTTTGTTCTGAACTACAAGTGTGTGTTTTCAGTATTTTATTTATGAAAATTTTTCCCACTGATTTAAGATTTGAGCATTTTATTTATCAAGGGCATTTTAGTAAAAGTAGTACCCGGTCGGGTTAGGGTGTTACATTTTGGATAAACAAAAGCCTTGACTCGTTTTTCTTTTCTTTAAAACAAAAGCCTTTAAAACTGAGACCGATATTCCAGTATTCCTTGGAGACCAGACGCAGAACTCTCTTTGATCTGCCAAACAGACGTGGATCTCTGAAGCGAATCGCAAATCCCACGGTCTCCGAAACGAGGGTCCCACCAAACGACGTCCACCGCCCCGGATTCCCCGAACCAGGCTCTCATACCACTTGTCAAACCAGGGTGCTCCATTAGTACGATATTTTTCGCTTTGGGCCAAGCCCGCACCGTTTTACTCTTGGGTGTCCTCCCCAAAAGGCCTCATACTAATGAGCTTGGTGGACACTAATATACAAGGATACCACTTGTCATAACTGGGCAGCCCATTAGTATGATATTGTCCGCTTTGGGCCAAGCACGCACGGTTTTACTTTTGGGTGTCCTCCCCAAAAGGCCTCGTACTAATTGGGCTAGGTGGACAATTATATACAAGGGTTCTTTCCCTTGTATTTCCGATGTGGTACTTGGATTGTCCCATAACAGATCCTGTTATGATAAAATGCTCCTATCACAATAGACGAAAATTGTTGTAGTGAGGTCTTTGATCATGAGGCCTAGGTGGATCTTGTGGCATGAAAATTTGATGAGAAGGTCATGCCGCCGTTCACTCACGACCGTGCTCGTGTAGTTGGGCTATTTCTTTCAGCCAATGAAAAAGCATAGTGAAGGGAGGGATCTAACCTTCTAAAATGTCCATTTCCCTAATAAAATCCTAGCTATCCTCTACATCGGCAAAGTCACCTTGGTAGAGGGTGGGTCATGGTATCCACCTTGACTCTTAGGACACAAAATTAACAATAATTGTACACAATTCATGATACTTTAATCCAACGCCTCATGTTTACTAGTCTGTCAGCATATTGTAGAGAGTTTTGTGACACACATTAACCATGTATATTCTGTGAATAACTCTAGCTTTTACATATATTTGTATCTCTAGTTGTTTATTTTGTGTTTATAAATTTATTATTTAGTATTGAATTCTCTATCCTCAAATGAAAATCCGTCGACAAACTATGAAATTATGTCATCAATCACTTAAACATTAATAAAATTTATTGTATATATTTCTATATTTACGTCGAGCTCACCTTAAGTGAAATTCTAACTACGCCACTGATTCTATAATCGATTAAAAGAAATCCTAATTATCATTAACTATCTTTTTAATAACACTCTTGATTAATCTAATTATCAAAATTTACTAAGGAACTTCTTAAATTAAATGATTTTTTTTTATTACCTAGGAACATGCACACATCGCTTGAGCGATGACGGAAAGAGACCAAATCTGGAGGTTCACCTGTTGAGCCTTTCGGGCCCTCCACAAATATCCCATAAATGCACCGCCGAGAGCATCACGAATGGGCCTAAAAAAGGGGTCGAACTCAGGAACTCACACGTCCAGAATGAGTGCCAAAAAAGCTCGCCAATCGAGACTATGTGACCTTTGCCTAAATTGAATGGTTGAAGAACCTGAGCGCTATATACACACAACTCATATTGGAAAATACAATCGTAACTATGCTATCGATCCACCCTCGAAGCTATTGTACCAGATCAGCTACTTTAATTAAAGCTCAAAGGCTGTCTAATCTAACTTTCATGGTCTTATCCCTAATCGTGGGGCTTGTTTATGTTCCACATGCCTGTTGTATTATTCTTATATATCTCATTGGAAAAAAGAGAGAGAAACTTTAGGACTTTGCTACGGTGACATGCATGTCACGGTGACATGCACTTTTCGGTCGACCTCATATAGGATCAGGTCGACCTAATATGTTGTTTCAGTGTAAAAACAGTTTCATGGTGCCTACTTTGGAGATTCATATCTTACAATTGGCTAGATGGAAATTGGAGATTAAAGGCTTGTTTTGAAGCTGAAGTGTCCCTCTACACATTAAAGTACTTGGGAGCTCAATAAAAAGTCCAGAAAACCATTTTTGAACCTGACCAAAAGGCTATGCCAAAACTGGGAAACTGCCTGAAAATGGCTAAGTCTGGCAACGTGTTTGTCAAGCCTACTTTGGAGCTCAATTTGAGAAGCATGGATGCGAGTCCAGTCTAGGGGCCTCTACCACGTTAAATTAAGTATTTTTTTATACAAAGGCAAGCCATTGGATGAAAGATTGAATATCTTTAAGGCTTCAAACAAAAGACTCGAAGTTGCTACGAAGGCTGTTTTTCTGGCAACTTGCTTGTGCTCGAAGTCTGCCAAAAAACAGCCTTCGTAGCAACTTCGACCCTTTTGTTTGAAGCCTTACAGATATCCAATCTTTCATCCAATACCTTGAATTTGTATAAAAACATACCTAATTTAACGTGGTAGAGGCTCCTGGACTCGACTCGCATTCATGCTTCTCGAATTGAGCTCCAAAATAGGCTTTACAAACACGTTTCCAGACTTAGCCATTTCCAGGCAGTTTCCCAGTTTTGGCATAGCCTTTTGATGAGGTTCAAAAATGATCTTCTGGACTTCCTATTGAGCTCTCAATCACTTCAATATGTAGAGGGACACTCCAGCTTCAAAACAAGTCATTAGTCTTCAATTTTCATCTAGCCAATTGTATGATATGAATATCCAAAGTAGGCACCATGAACTGTTTTTACACTGAAACAACAGATGAGGTCGACCTGATCCTATATGAGGTCGACCGAATCCTAAATGAGGTCGACCATATCCTATATGAGGTCGACCGAATTCTAAATGAGGTCGACCTAATCCTAACTGAGATCGACCGGAAAGTGCAAGTCACCGTGACATGCATGTCACCGTAGGCACACCCGAAACTTTATTATACATTTAGGTTGATGCCAAATGTCGAAAACTGGGCAGCCAGCAAGGAACAAAACATCACACTTGGCAAAATTAACGGAGGCCTGGTGTACATAGTATGCCACGTGGTAACAGTAGTACTGTCGTCACCATATTTCAATTTCATCTTCATCCAACCCTCCATCTCCGTGCATGTATAAAACCCATAATAACATACACACACCGATCCTGTCATAACAATCGTTCCTCCCAAAACACAAGAGTCAGCCAGCTCATATTTTTTAAATCATGAGTCAACAACAGCCAAGCAGGCCGCAAGCCATGGACAACGATCAGGCCGCGGCGGCGTCCATCAAATACGGCAACGTTTTCAGCGTCCAGGGGGATCTCGCTACGAAACCGGTGGCCCCGGGAGACGCAGCCGCCTTGCAAGCCGCAGAGAGCCGGGCGCTTGGCGCTGGGCAGAGCCTCCGAGGCGGGCCCGCCGCCGTCATGGAATCCGCTGCTGCAGTCAACTACGGAGCCGGCGCCGTCCACGGGAACCAAGTCACCGACGCCGTCAGAGAAGGTGGGGTTTCCGTCACCGCCACAGACGTCGGCGGCACCCGCATAGTCACCGAAAGAGTTGCCGGCCAGGTAAAACTTTAAAAAACATTAAAATAATCAAGTGCTATTAATTTTTGGTCTGGTTTCTTTTAATAAAGTTAATTAATTTTCGAGATGTACGTAGGTGGTGGGGCAGTATGTGGACCCGACAGGAGGGGTTCCGTTACAGGTGGCGGCCACCGGAGGAGGTGGTGGTGATGGGATAACGGTGGGGGACGCGCTGGAGGCGGCGGCGCTGTCGGTTGGGGACAAGCCTGTGGACCAGGCGGATGCGGCGGCGATACAGGCTGCGGAAGTGAGGGCGATTGGTAGCAATCGGATACCGCCAGGCGGAATCGCGGCCCAGGCCCAGGCGGCGGCCACCCAGAATGCCAGAACCATGGGCGACGAGAATAAGACTACCATTTCCGATGTCCTCTCGGTAATTAATCAAGACCCACCATTAATTTCTGACTATGTTGTATATTGATATTGATGAATGGCGTGGGTTGCAGGACGCGGCGACGAAGCTGGGGGCGGATAAGGAGGTGACGAGGGAAGATGCGCAGGGAGTGATTGAAGCGGAGATAAGGAACAAGCCGGACATGCGGACTACTCCCGGTGGAATCGGCTCTGCTATGGCAGCCGCCGTCAGGGTTAATCGTGACATCCAGTAGTGTTGTATTAGTCAGTCTAGTAAATGTAAATACTTTTGGAGTTTGAGATGGTAAATATTCCGTCTAGAGTCTTCACACTTCGTCATGAGATTACTTCCACTAATCTTGGCTCCAACTTCAGCCGAATGCTAAGAGTTCCCAAATATCGTGAGATTAGATTCACCTACATGAAGCTTTGGGACGGAAGCCAAACAATATGTTTCCATGTGAAAGTTCTATGGTTAAAAGAGTCTTCTTGCCATCTGGATCCCAAATTTCGTTGCCAAAACTCCGGTTTCCGGTTACCAGTTAATGGTGTCTTCAAGGAATGATGGTGATTATCTGCGCCTTAATTAAAGTTTTGGGAGGTGGTCAATGGTAGTTGCATGTTATATGGTTACTAAGTTTAAAGTTTAAACCATTATAAGTTAGAGCACTTCTACTATGCTATATAGTATTGGTGCTATAATGTACAACTTAAAGTTGTACCATAACATTAAATGTATAAGTTTAGGTTGTACCATAAAGCAATTTATACCCTTATGTTATGGCACAACTTTACAACTTAAAGTTGTACCATCACTTAAAGGTACAAGTTTAAGTTGTACCATAAAAGAATTTGTACAAAAAGTATAGGTACAATCTGAAGTTGTACTATAACGTAAATGTACAATTTGAAGTTGTACCATAAAAGCAAAAACCTATAGCACCAATACTATATAGCATTGTAAAATTTCTCTATAAGTTATTAAATAAACCCGAGTGGGAACATTTGATGGCTAGGGTATTTTAGGAAACTCTTTTGCACCATTTTAGCAACATTTGATAGCTTGGAGAAAGTCTTTTCTATTATTTAATTAACCGGTAAAGTTAGTTCGTTACATGTAATATCGGTACAATACATAATTGAATAAACGTTACTGCATAATATCTAAATTATTGATTCTTTATTTTGGAGATCTCCAACAGTCCCGTCCCTGCCAAGTATGAATTGTGAATATTCAAACGATTAAGTTTGGAAATCAAACATGAAAACACATCACTTGACAAAGATTTTGTTAAGACATCTGTACAACACTTAATTGAATAAATGCTACTGCATAATACCTAAATTATTGATTCTTCATTTTGGAGATCTCCAACAGTCACCGTCCCTGCAAGTAGGGATTGTGAATATTCAAACGATTAAGTTTGGAAATCAAACATGAAAACACATCACTTGACAAAGATTTTGTTAAGACACCGAGATGATTCTCACCAGTAACTTGTTGGGGGTCGTTTGGATGGCTTAATTGTCAATGTGGCATTTGTAGAGAAATAACTCATTTATTGTTCATGTGGTATTTTAGTGGTAATTGAAATAAAGTATCTCGTTTGGTTGAACCATGCAAATGTGATATTTGACATGTGATATTTGGTAAAAGCAGAGTGATAAAACGAGTTATTTCGAAATAACACATAGATATAAGTTATTTCAAATAATTTATTTTAATCACCGAAAAAAAAAAATCGTTTTGAGTTATTTGTAAAATAACTCACTGTCCAAATAACTCATTTCAGTAAAACTCTGCCAAACGAGTTATTTGCATTTAAATAACTGTGAGTTATTTGAACCCAAATAACTCATACAAATACTCCATCCAATCCATCCAAACGTTGGAAAATTTTGATCAAACTAGACAATATATGATCACAAATAATATTACAATCTATTTCAATATGTTTTGTTCGTTTATGAACAAGAGGATTCTTGACTAATTTAATAATGGATTGATTAATCACAAGCAATATAGTAAGAGAGTTAAAATGAACTCCTAGATCCTGAAAGTTATAATGCAACCATTATAATCATTGCAAGATACTAGGCTTCAGTGGAGGATAGAGAAGCAGCGGGCTCCTTCTTTAATATCCAACTAATAGCAAAGTGACCTAAGAACTTACATAGTTAGTTGTTCACCTACGAGAGACCTGACAACCAGCTCAATCATAATCTGAAAACCATGTAAGTTCCAGAGAAGAATAACTATGAAAGAATAGGCCATGTCCAAGATTGTTCTTTATATATCTAAGAACAATTAAGTGAATGTTAGATGGTTTACTCATAAACTTAGTTAAATAATGAACATCAAATCCTATATCAGGACGAGTATGACACATATACAAAGGTGGCCTACAAGTCTACGATATAGTTCATGGTTAGAACGTGGTTCACCATCATAAAGTTAGAGTCGACTTCCAACAATAATAAGTGTGGCAGTAGGCATGGCAGCAAGTAATCATGCATCATTAAAAAAAAAAAATCTAAAGCACATTTACAAACGAAAAACACCAGCGTTCGAGTGATTTTTAAGCCTAAGATATACTTGAGTTGTACAATATCGTTGATCTTAAGGAAACATGTAACTGATATTTAAGCAAGTTGAGAGAATCAACATCATCGGCGGCTAATATGACATCATCAACATATACTAAGGAATCAATAAACTTCTTAGAAGGTAATGTAAGTCTTGAGGACGCTTCATGTACACTTCTTCTATTAAATCGATCTCCCTGTAAAAAAGCATTATTAACATCAAATTGTTGCACATGCCAATTCTTGATGGAAACTGCAACAAGTACATCATGTCCAGTGGAGAGTTTAGCTACAAGAGAAAAAGTTTCTAAGTAGTAAAGCCCCAAGGTTGGAGTACAACCTTTGGTAAGTAATCTAGCCTTATAACGTTGTATGTTGTCATCAGGTTTAAACTTAATATTAAAGATCCATTTATTTACAATTTCATGCTTATCTAGAGGCAGAGGAGTTAGAGTCCAAGTATTGGTGTTTGCCTATGCTTGGAGCTCTAAATCCATTGGGCCAACCTACCTTGGAACCTTGGTAGCCTCAATGTAAGTAGTTAGTTCAATTTCATTAGTTACAACCATAAAACTTTTGTCATAAGTCAGAGATAACGTGTGATAAGATAAAACTTTGAAAATATATTATACTTAGCATTATTATTAGGAAAAAATAATCACCCAACTAGCTTCTTTAGGTGAGTCAGTAGACTGAATTTCGGCCAGAATGCAAGCAGAAGTTGGAAAGGAAGAAGAAACCTGTGCTGGAACTGTAGTTCTTTGTGGAAAAATATAGAATCACCAGTTGAATTTCAAGAAAAGGAAGAACTTGGTCTAATGAATTTAAAGATAGACCAGGAATTTGAGAATGGAAAGATGTTTTCATGGAAAACTACATCACGAGACTCTAACAATTGGGAGAATGTAGACGGTAAAGTTTATAGCCATTTGTGGCAAATAGAAAACTAATAAAAACACATGGTTCTGCCCTAGGTGAAAACTTGGAACGATTATGAACTAAATTCGATGCATAACACAAGCAATCAAACACATGTAATTTACTATAATCAGGTTGCCTACCAAATAATAACTTAAAAGGAGACTTATTTCGTAATATCGGAGTTGGTAACTGGTTTATGAGATGGATAACATGCAACACTAAATGTCTCCAAAAACCAGCAAATAAACATGCATTAGGAGAGCTCGAGCCACAACAATTATATGTTATTACTTAAGCTCAACTCAGCCATTTTGTTGTGAGGAGCTTTACATGTGGTTTGATGAATGATGCCTAAAGAACTATAATATGATGGCATGTTCAATTCATCACCATTGTCTATCCTTATAGTTTTAACATGTTGAGAAATTTGAGTTTGCATATAAGAGCAGAAAGATTAAACTAAGGACCTAGCTTTTGATTTTGGGAAGAGGTGCAAATGGGAGAGGGTGCAAGCGTGGGGTAAACACAAGTTTCAAGATGTTTACCCCTGTTTGATTATTTTGAAACAGTAGCGGTTGCAAAACATTAGTGCAAATTCACTATTTCGACTTACCCTCCGAATTGGAGCGCAAGGGAAGGAGGGAGGGGGGGGGGAGGAAATTATGGATTTTTTTTAATTATATTAACCTTTGACTTTTCAATTTAAGTCACTATCATCTTTGACCTAATAACTTGTTATTTTCATAACACCAAAAAACAAACACTAGTATTAGTCGTCTCTCAGCCTTCAATTCGTCAAATTAAAGATTACCAATAACAAGAACTTGAGATGTCACCTCTCCTTCATTCTCCTTATCCATATCCTAGCAATAGGAAAACTCAAGACTCTTTGCTTAGTCCTTTGCCCTAAATTAAACAATCAAATCTAATTTATATATTTAATTATTTATTTTAAATGTAATTTATTTCGTATTCGATAATATCGATTGGGATACCGAAGTACCGATTGGGATACTAGAATATTTAGTGATTGGGATTGGGATATCGGAATATTTAGGAATTGGGATTGAGATTGACTTTCGCGTATAATTCGGTATTCGGGATTTCGGTATTTGGTATTGGGATACCGATACCATGCCGATTTCCACCCCTAATCATAAGGAAGTATTATGACTATCAACAGTAGGAACACTATAAGGACCACATATATCTATAAGAATCAATTTAAACGAATTTGCATCATGAGACATGCTAGATTGAGAAGGTAAACAACGTTTTGATTATCAATAGGCTAATTTCTTGAAGTTTCTAATTATTACTTCAATACATAATTGACTTGGTTTCATTTGGATATAATAGAAAATTAAGTTAATAATAACGAATCTTATGAACAAATATCTCTCAAACCATTTAAGTTAGGATGAGAAGATAAAAATATGTATGAACTAGCTACCCATAATATCACCAATAATGAGTACAACAAGTATTACTTTCAAATTATGCATAATTTATATAAATTATCCCAGCTTATTTAAAATATAAATGAATTGATAAACATAAATAGTACAAAATAAAATGAAAATCATCCAACCAATAGATCGATAAAAGCTAGTATAAACTTACATGGATAAAACTTAATAAAATCCGAGTGAAGCATCACACATTGGCCCAAAGATAGAAGACCAATGTATTGTGAAGCCAATCACAGTATCACACGCTTACTAAAGGAAGTGGGTACTACAAATAC